CCATTCCATTCCATTCCATTCCATTCCATTCCATTCCATTCCATTCCATTCCATTCTATTCTATTCTATTCTATTCTATTTCATTCCATTCCATTCCATTCTATTTTACTCTACTCCACTCCATTCCATTCTATTCTCTATAAATCATTGTGATGTTCTCTTTTGTGGAGAAAAGGAGTTTCTTTGGATGTGCCATCCTTTCTATTCAGTGATACATTTGGTGCCTCTGATTGTTGGCCTGAATATTTGCCTTCCTGTTATACTGTACTTATTATGAGATATCTGATGTGAATGTAAGAAGGGGTCTTATCCCTACCAAGACAAGGTGGAAAGGACATCTAAAATTCTCCCTGGCTAATGAAAAGCTGTTTAGCTTTCTTAGTATATTATAATATTTCAAATCTCAACAATAGATTTGGTGAGTAACAGGGAGTCAAAGTTTCCTGAATAGGTCCCTTGATGGAACAATCAAATGCTTCAACCTGAAGTTGGCCCCCAAAACAAGTGAAAAACAATGTTTCTCTAGCTGAACATCTGCAGAATCACGTCATGCTGAGAAGCCACTGTGGCTCCATCTCTCTTTATAATTATTGAAATCATGACTATTTATTCTACTTCCAGCAGGACCTGTGGGATGCCCACACACCCCTATTCCCAATTGAAACCACTGAAATAAATAATTAGAGATTCCTAAACAAGCAAACTTGAATAATACTTAGACGTTCTCATAAAAAAGCTTCAAAATATCTCCAGCTCCATATAGACCATAAGGTGATATCTGTAGGTAGGACTATGCAGCTCTGAAACCGAAGGCTGCTCTTTCTGTGTGCCAGAGTGTGATTCATCTCCTTTTGTGGAGTCAGAGTGGCTGTGCTCTTTGTCAAGAGAATTGTGCTTCTCCTTTCACCGCTCTAAGAGAACGGTGCCTGTTTCAGAGAACTATAGCAACATCTCCCTCATGATATGTCAAATGCTTCTGCTGTTCCTTTTCCTGATGTCCCGTTTTCCTTCTACAGTGTTGAAGATTAATTGTCCGTTCGATGTGTTAAAAGAGAGGTACATGTTTAATCAATACAAACCAGGACATTTCCTGATTAGTGGAATCGTCTCTACGTATATATCTCCTTTTGAACCGTACAGTTTCATCATGCCTTCAAACAAAACATTTCGAAGGTAACTGATTTTATTCTATCCATTGTCTCCTTTTCAGCAGCTGCTTGCCTGTCATCTTTCCCCCCTCCTTATTTAAGAAAAAGGTTTCTTCTGCTCTGTGAACATCATTATTTATTTATTTGATTGATTGATGTGCTGCTCATCTTGTCTATATAATGCACTTTTTAAAGCTGCCCTTTGAGGGGGTTTTCCTTTGCAATTATCCAGTAGAAGGTGGCATTAATCCTGACAGCCTTTTCAGCAATCTTTAAGGAAGGGCAGCTAGTTGCTTGACTCTTCACAACAGGACTCTCGATGATACCAGGGACAGTCATCAAATGTCCTTTTAGCTGAAGACAAAGAAAAGGGGTTCCTTTCCTTTTCTTCCCTTCCCTTCCCTTCCTTTCCCCTCTCAAAGAAGTGGAGGCTTCTTACTTTGAGTAAAGTTCCTGTTTCTTTTTCTTTTTTTAAATCAACACTAAGAAAGCTCTGACAGATTGAGAAGAAAAATCACATTACAAGAAAGCCATTTCAAATGTTCTAAAGGAAAGTACATTCTTAGGAAGTGGTTAGTTCTTATACCTTTAAGTAAAATTTTTTTATTGATGTGGTGAAGTAAATTGAATAATGTCACATGTTACCTTTATAATGTTATTCTTATAATGTTTTCATCCTTCAGTCCATATGAACTAATATTAAATGCACACTATCCCATATAAAAAAGAGATCTGTGCAGAATATAAATAACTGAAGTATTAAAATTAATATAAATACCAGAGAAATATAAAATGATTGCATAATTAAGTCCTTCCTTCCTTCCTTCCTTCCTTCCTTCCTTCCTTCCTTCCTTCCTTCCTTCCTTCCTTCCTCTGGCATTTGAGCAGTTTTATTTTGTAGGCCACTCAGCCTCTGTTTCTTTTGCAGATAAGATCAGAAGTTAATGTGTTAACACTAAAAATGTTCCCTCAGATCCGGAAGGAAATTCAAATCACAGAGAAGATATTTCAGCTGTTCTGAAGAACAGTATACTTATGGGAATTTCATATCTCTCTCTCTCTCTCTCTCTCTCTCTCTCTCTCTCTCTCTCTCTCTCTCTCTCTCTCTCTCTCTCCATCTACCTTAAAGTAAAATATATTACTGATTTAATGAGGTAAATTGAATACTGCCCTAACTTATCTTTATAATTTTATTCTGTGTATTACTTTTCAGTCACTGTTCTGCATGAATTAACATAAAAATTAAATGTACACAATTCCATATTTAAATGATCCTTACAGAGTATGAATAAAATGATTGTAGTATTAAAATTAGTATTAGCACAAAACTATAAAATGTTTGCAAAGCTAAGTAATTGCTATTAATCATAGCTAATATAATGAGTATAGTAAGCAAACGTTATATACAAAATAAACTGAGATATTATTGTATGTAGAATTCTACCTCAAAGGTAGATAAAATATAAAGCAATATATTATTCTACAACAAAAGCATATTAAGATATATCAGTATCTTAACTGCTATAATATCAAATGACTAAATAAATAACTGTAACAGCTAATTGATTTTTAGAGAATTCCTTCTGAAATTTAAAGATTGCTTCACAAAAGAAATTTATTACTCTAGTATTACCAGGAGAAAAAAGTAGAAAGATGTCAAAGTTACCAAACGTTTCTGGTTTTAATTTGAATCTTATTTTTGGAATTTTCTGAACATTTTAAGTGAATTTCTTTCTAATCCTTTTCAGGTTTTTTTTTTTAATAACCACAATATATAATAAAATGTTCATTCTTTTCTCTGGCATTTCCAACATGTATTATGGCATGCTTTTTGAATCTTAGAAATGTAACAGAATTACATACAATCTCTTAAATGCAGCTTGGTGTAAATGTTATTGGTCTTTTTTCCATAGAATGTTTCATTGTTCTACTCTTATTGCCACTTTGGAAATTTGCTTCCATTTTATCATACACTTGTTTTTTTTAATAAATAAGATTAAAATTAAAGTAATCATTTGTAAATACTTCCTAAACAATTAACTTGATTCTGTGTAAGTTTTTCAAATTCTACTATCTTCCATTCTTCTTTGAAATATTTTTTTTCTGGTCATTTGTAAATATATTAATAAGAGTGAATTCCACCTTCTCTTAACCATTCTTCTTGGGCCTTTAATCTGTTTCTTGTGTCCAGTGGAATAATATTTGAATCTGTAACCAGATCTTTAATTTGTAATTTTAATCTGTAATTATATTTAATTATAAAGCTTTTGTCAATGGGGTTGTTGTGATTTTAGTATCTGGAACTTGTTGGTTTTGAAATAAGAACCAATAACTAATTGAAAATAATGACTCACATTTAAAATATATGTTTATTGCAACCTGACAAACCCTAAATATTTCACTCAATCTTTTTTTATTTCTCAGCCAGTTTCTTTTTTTTTACAAAATTATTTTCATTGAACATTGATTGTGATTTCATAATTCTTAATAATGTATTGCTATATATCTTTCACCCTGTATTTCTCTCCTTCAATTTTACTTGATATCATCTATTCCTTTATAAGACTCAGGGATTCATTTTGTTTAAGAACACTAATAAAAATGTACTTTCTAAATTTTCAAAGTCTTCTTTCAAATCTTGAAATAATACTTCTGTCCTCTTTTTCTTAATGTTGATAAATTCTAGTGAATTGATGGTAGACAAGTTGCTTCCCCCACCGCACCCCTCTTTTTGGAAGTCTATCTGTTCTGTGGAATAATTTCACAAGTACAATTCCTGATTGTACTTGTGCGAATTTATTTAGGAAAGATATTGATCTATATGTTGGGTGTTCCTTTTTTGTGTACTAATCTTATAAATGGCTCTTTTCAAGTCTTGGATGTTGAATTCCTTGTCTGAATTTTAACCATCATCTTCAATAGTGGGTCCAATATTTTTTTTCTAATTTTTCATAATATAAGATGACTTTCCATCAGGATATGCTGTTTTACTGATTTTGACCTTCATTAATGCTTGTTTAATCTCTTGAGCTGTTAACGATTACCTTAATGTTTCTCTATGTTGTTTCATAAATTCCTTAACCTCTGACTTTTCAGTAGAGGTTTCCAAATATCAAATATAAATATTTTCCCAGGAATACAATTTCTTACATTTTTTTCAACTTCTGCTATTTTTGATCTTCTACATAATGGATTGTTCTCTTCCTTTAATCTCCGTTATCAGTTCTTCCTTTTGTTTTCTGATTTGTCAAAATTTACCTGGTGGGTTTGCATTTTCAAAATGATTTTCTTTGCCCTATTACATTTTCTTTTAAAGTTCTGCCGTTTCCATTAAATCTAATATTTGTTTCACTTTATTTCACTCTTTCGATGTTTGTTTTCATTAATTGGTTTTATGAATCTCTTCTAACTCCTTTATTTTCTCTTCTAATTGTGATTTCTACATCATATGTTCTTTTTTTTCTGTGTGCTGCGATTAATGAGAGGAGTTTCAATAACTACAGTGTTACAGACAAAGGAATGTAATGGTTGGTTAATCAGAACAGAAAGGAAAATAAATGAATTGGAACAGAGGAGAGAAAGGAATTAGTTAAGATTTATTACATCCTGTATAGTTGTCTCTTCTAATACTGGAGTTATTTTTGCATTTCTGAAGTATTCTTTCTTAAAGCAAGAGTGTTTAATTCATCCACCATCTGAAAGACAATATTTCCCCCCCAAAGCCAAGATATTAGAATTCATGAGCCCTACATAAAATTGAGTTCTTTTAAAAATGGTGTGAGGGTTTTAGAAACTCAGCAGTCAATTCTTGAGTATATTTAGTATCTTGCTAGGAAAAAAAATGTAGTTCTGATGTTGGGATTCTTTAATCTCTAATCAGTCAAAACTATTGTGTTTTCCTGAAAATAAGGCATGGTCTTATTTTCTTTTAGGCCCCGAAATAAGCACCAGGTTTTATTTTGGGGGATGTCATTCCTGCTTATCTTAGGACCACTGAAGCCATGCCTACCATGCCTTGACATCTGTCACACTGCCGCCCAGCTTCTGTGGATGCTCATGGCATGATGAGCAGCAGAATGCTGCGAGGCTCATCACGTTGGTGCCACTACTTGTGACAAGATACCTCCAGGCTTGCTGCGCTGGTGCCAGTGCAAGCAGCAGAATGCTGCCATGCTCATTGCACTGGTGCCATTCGCAACACCAGCATGGTGGCACCAGCGTGATGAGCCTTGCAGTGTCCTGCTACTTGCAGCACTGGCACAATGCACCTCATGACATCTGGCCACAAGCAGCTGCAGAAGAAGTTGGGCAGTGAAGCAACAGGTGTCAGGACATGGGAAGCCTGGCTGTGGTGGTCCTGAGGGAAGCAGTTGCAGGGCGCATGGGGCAGCTCCCTCCCGCCCACTTGAGTTTTATGCCTGCACCTCACCCCATTTTGTACAACCAGATGGTGGGTGGGGCTTAACTTGGGCTTACTTTAGGAAGAGGGTTTATATTAGGCGCAAGCGTAAAAATCAGGCTAGGACCTCCTTCTGTGCCATTCAGGAAATCACCCACTTTACCTTGATTTTTCAGCATAATCCATTTTGTTGATTTCACACTATGACTTTATTAACTGTCTCAGTTAGACTGATAATATAGAAATCTGATGGATAAGTTATAAATTCCGTTAAAGGAGTGTGATACCAAAGCTTTGTGAAATGAAGAGAAATATCTGCACTGGGGGAGGAAGACCCATTTATATCTCTTTTTTAAAACATACTTATTTACTCTTTATCTCCAAAGATACAATAGAAAACAAAAAAAGAAAGGAGAAAAGAAACAACAAAAGCTAAAAATTATACTTAAAAACACCCCAAATATCAAATACAACTAACATTAAACAGAAAAAAATGACTGAAGCTGAAAGATGCATCAAAAATCTAATATGTTCTCCTCCTAGACCTGTTCATATCTCTTAACTTGCAGTCATCTTCAGAGTTTCTGGCATATCCTGCCCTTCATTTTTGCCATTCATCTGATCAACCAAAGTCCAAGAATTTTACCCAACATCACTCTGGGCTACAGCATCTATGAGAATTTCTTCAGTGCTAGAATGACATATGAGGCCATGATAGATTCACTTTCCACAGGGCAGGAAAACGTCCCAAACTACAGATGTGGAAGACCCAAAAAACTGTTGGCTGTGCTTGAAGGGACCAACTCTGAGCTCTTTACCTGTATTTCAACCATGTTGGGCATCTACAAAATCCCACAGGTATGAACATATGATTAAGACAATTGCCACAATTGTTAAATGAATCACCATGTGTCAGGGTTCCAAATAGCATCCAAAAGTAAATCAGAGTCCGAGGCAAAGTATTGCTCAAAATTCCATTTTATTAATAGAGCCATGTTGGCACATCTGGGGAAACCCGAATCTGAAAGCTTCCCAGTTTTCCCCACCTAGTTGAAAGTTCAAGATCTTGCCCCCACACCCACAGGTCCATCACATGACCCAATCTTCCACTGCCATGCGGGCAGCTTCCCCCCATCCAGTTCCAGTCAGGTGCAGAGGT